ATTTACCTTTTTACAGAATCTTGTATTCCTGGAAGAGGTTTTAGAAAATGAGCTGTAGAATTCGGCTGTTTTGTGCCTCACCCAGGATCACCCAGCCAGTTATCCATGACCAAAATCAGGTTTCTCTATCTGAACAGCACAAAGCTGACGGTGGAGAGACTGACCAGGATCAGCCTAGGCATCTAATGGGGAATCTTGTCACAGCCAGATTATATCCCTCTAACCTTCTAACTGTGCCAGAAGGGTGGGCAGTGCAGCCAATCACTCCCGGAAAAACCATTCCTTTGCCTGTCAATTCACAGGTGCAGGGGTCACCACTATTAGCCCTGGTGGCTCAGTGGGTGAAGCGATCGACTGCTAACTGAAAGGTCAGTGGTTCAAAACCACCAGGGGCTCCACAGGAAAAAGATGTGGCAGTCTGTTTCTGTAAAAATTTACAGCCTTGGAAACCCTATGTGGTCACTGAGTTGGAATCGACTCAACGGCACTAGGTTTGGTTTGGGTTTCAGCTTATTCACGTAGGGGACCCATGAGATTAAACATAAATGTTCAATGTAATTTGAGAATGTGCAGAGATGTCCCACTTCAGGTCAAGTGCCTCCTTTCAGAGACTGCCTTGGGTATGGGGAGTGGCTTTTCCACCCTATTCAGGTTGACCCGCCTGCTAATTCGTGGCTCTTTGGCTGCCTGTGTGGTTGCAAGGTGCAAGACAGTATGTAAGTATGCTACCATTTGTGTAAAACTAGTGGAGTAATGGGATGAATTATACAGATATAGATATTCCCTGGCGGCACAGTGGTTAAGCGCTCAGGTGCTAACGAAAAGGTCAGCAGTTCGAACCCACCAAATATATATATACATTTGTTTATATACTGTATCGTAAAATATCACTGGAAGTATTTGCAAGAAGGGAGTCCCTGGGTACACAAATAATTGAGCACTGGACTGCTAACTAAAAGGTTGGTGGTTCAAACCTGCGCAGAGGCACCTCAGAAGACAGGCCTGGTGATCTGCTTCCGAAAGGTCACAGCCTTGAAAACCCTATGGGACAGTTCTACTCTGTACACGCAGGGTCGCCATGAGTTGGAATCAACTGAAT